TTCCAACTTTGTAAGGAATTGCCATACTCCTGCAAAATGCTTTTGTTGTTCTTTTCACATTTTTATGTTATCGTGGTAAAAACACATGTAACAGAAAATGGGCTATTTTAACACACACAACCCCACTAGGTAGATGTAGTTGCACACAGGGACAGGGCCTCCCTGAGTCAGGTATCTGCTAGGGCTGGTGGCTGGCAGAAGCCTCCCGCCTCCCGCTTATACCAGACTTCCTCCCCCTGCTTGTTGTAGGAACTCAGTGAGCAGGCCGTGGAGAAAGAAGGGGTCAGAGAACTGTTTGGTCCTGTTTAGTTCTCCTGTGTCACAACCATAGTCTCACTTTTTCTTATTTTAAACCATGTCACGCATGGCTTTGCTTGTAATACTGCATTTTATAAAATGAATTTTCTGCTATCAGTACGGTATCTTGATATAAAGCAATTTTGCTTTTTGCCTTACATCACCCACACACACACACATACAGACACGTTTTATTTTGAAAAATTTCAACTAACTCAGTGTATATCCGTGTATCAGTTGTCAGCGCTCTGTCACGTTTGCTGTCTCTGTTCTTACACATTCCTGTTTTCCTTAAAGCCATCGACCACTTTCCCCCGCCAGTCATCCAGCATGCCCCCCTGCTGTGTTCTTGTAACACTGCTGTTAGTGCCCTCAGGTTCGCTCTGGCTCGTAGCAACCCTGGGTGTGAAAGAACAAGACACTGCCTGGTCCTGCGCCACCCTCACAGCTGTTGCTAAGCTTGAGCTCATCATTGCAGCCACAGTCAGTCCATCTCATTCAGGGTCTTCCTCTTTCTCACTGACCTTCTGCAGGATTAGACTGTAGTTCTCATTTCTTTATTAGTCACTTTTTGAATAGAGCTGTATTGAATGTTGATATTTTGGCCACTTTGTGCTGCTGTAACAGAAAATACCAAAAATGGGTGACTTTAATAAACAGGACTTTATTCTCTTCCGATTTTGGAGGCTGGAAGTCTGAGTTCAAAGTGCTAGGCTCTAGGGGCTGGGTGAAAGCCCCTCGACCTTGGGCTTCAGCTCTGCCTCTTGCTCCTGGCCCACTGCAGCTGGAGGCTTCTCTTCACTCAGGCAGCTGCTGGCTGCTGAGGCCAATAAGCCCAAGGTTGACAAGTGAAATGGCACAGCCCCAATATTACCAAACAACATGGCAGGCCACTAATTCAAGTCCAGAGACAGTCTCAAGATTGGCAGGAACCATGGCAGGTTGCTGAAAGAAGACTTGGCTACATGCAAGGTTCAAGCATGCCAAAAGCTACAGACCTTTCTCAACACTTCTCCTTATATACTGGGGGCAGATCACGTCCCTAAGGCACCTACTCAGCTGCTCCAGTTGATTACCAGTCTCACTGTGGGGAATAACTACATCCAGCTGCCCAGCCACTCAGTCAGGCTCAGCCGAGTTGACACACAACTGAACTACGAGTTGTTTATTGCGGTGTAGTAAATTACTTAGTGTGGCTTTTCTACCCAT